TCTAACATATTTAGTACTTACACAAATAACTCTAGATAGATAAACCGTTAGGTTCTAAACATATTTAGACTTACACAAATAACTCTGATGATAAACCGTTAGGTTCTAAACATATTTAGACTTACACAAATAACTCTGATGATAAACCGTTAGGTTCTAAACATATTTAGACTTACACAAATAACAATGATGATAAACCGTTAGGTTCTAAACATATTTAGACTTACACAAATAACTTTGATGATAAACCATTAGGTTCTAAACATATTTAGACAAATAACTCTGATGATAAAGCGTTAGGTGAAAGGGAGGTCCTACTAGTTACTGTCAGTTGTTCTGATTTGTAGAATGAAGAAAGTATTCTACCAAGTAATAGAAGTTTATCATCAGTTTAGAGATATTTATATAATATAATAAACAAATGATTCAACTACCATGAACTAAAACTTGCTAAAAATTTTAGCAAACTAAGAAGCAGTCAAAATATTTGATTTCCACGTGTTTACTCTACTGGTTTCACTATAGAAAACAAACAGTTGGCTGACATTTAGTGGGGAATTTTTAATGTATGAAAAAGTTAATTACCGTTATGCAAATTGGTAGATTTCCAGAAAAAATCGGTAGAAATGACCAATTTATAAAACCTGGTCACTAGATCAAGTCAAAGTATGAGTCAATTGACACTGTGAAAGAGTTGAAAATTACCTTTTTCTTATTTATTTACTTACCATCATGTGGATTGTCTTATGTCTTTTAATACATGTATATATATATATATGTGTGTGTGTTTGTGTTTTACTGTCAGCTGAATAATTAATTAAATAAATGACTTTCTAATCTATGCGTTTTTTTTTTTTTCTACAGGAGATATACAACACTATAGCACAAAGAAAGTCTTCTATTGAAGACACAAATACATTGGGAGGAAGATATGTTCGAGAAGCAAAAGTACGTGTTCTCCGTTCAGGTTTAAATTTATTTGGATATGAATTCCGTTTGAATCACTTGAGGCACAGTTTCAGGCAGTTAAGATAATTTCTTGAACAGTAAAAGATGAAGTTATGTCTACCTAGTTAACCTTGCGAGTTTGTCTTTTGTATATTATTTAATATTTGTGTTAAAGATAGAATAAATGATGATACTTTTCTCCTTAATTATTAAAGTAAAAAAATGTTAGGACTTTTTTTTTCCTTACTTTTGATATCAAAACTAAGGAAGGAAGTCTAAATGGTTGAATGTTTCACAAATACACAGTACACAGATGAGGGATCCAAAGATCTTTCGAAAGCCATCAAGTTTAGTGCTATATTACAGATGTACTTTGATATATTATCCAATATTACAAGAAATTTATTGACCAATTCATTGTCTCTGTGTTCCATTTAAATTAAGCTAAAATTTAACATTAAAAAAAATGTTTAACATTGTTTTAATTTTTATTTTCTCTAATGAACAACACAAAGCTGACTTGGAGTTTTTAATTTTCTCAGATATATGACTTGAGATTAAAACACTACAGAGAGAGCTTAGAAGAAGTCCACCCAAGTCTAGATGCCAGCATTCCCAAGAAGGCTAAAGTAGTGGTTGGTGCCGATGATGTCAGCCAAGAACTTGACATCTTAAATCAAAACTATACAGAACTGGTAAACACAGTTCTAGAATATTTGAATAAATTACGAGAGCTTCTATCGGAACACAAGGATTATAAGGTATGAAATTAAATTTTGTTGAAGAATTAACTAAAATATTAAAATGTTGCTATCTTTCTAATCTTCTTTTATTAAATTAGGCACAGCATGGCCAGGTGGTTAGGGCGCTCGACTCGCAAATCTGTGGGTTGCGGGTTCGAATCCCCCTCACACCAAACATGCTTGCTCTTTCAGCCATGGGGGCATTATAATGTCACAGTCAATCCCACTATTTGTTGGTAAAAGAGTAGCCCAAGAGTTGGCGGTGGGTGGTGATGACTAGCTGCCTTCCCTCTAGTCTTTCACTGCTAAATTAGGGAAGGCTAGCGCAGATAGCCCTCGTGTAGCTTTGCGCAAAATCCATAACAAACAAACAAACAAACTTTTATTAAATCAAATTCATATTTATTTTACTTGATTTGAATTCTTCTTTTTAAATTTATGATGATTTCATCTGTTTGTGTACTGATGGCACAATATGTATGTTCCTTCACGATTCAAGAGAAATTTTTAGATTATATTTTCCTTAAATATTTGTACAAAGATGAAATTAGAAACTTTTCCATGCAGGCTTTAGAATACCCTTTTTTCCTTTTATATTTAATACTTTTCATAAGCAGTAATTACTGTATCGAAAGTAAATTAATGTATCTAAAATTTACCACTAGGGATAAGAATGTTTCTAACATTTATTTCTAAAAAAATTGAATTGCTTGGAATCATATCAATTACACCCTACAAGTTAAAGAGTTAAAATATTTTATAGCATACTTAAGTTACATTAAACGTAACCATATGGATAAGCTAATAAAACCATATTCTGTATTTTTATTTTTGCACATTGATTATTCTTTTAATAACATCTTTTCTCATAGAGTTCCATAACCATCAGTCATGCTGTTCCAATTACTCCACGTTCATTCCATTCTGAACTGGTTATGGACCAGGACTCTAGCCAAGAGCCAAAGGATTTAGGTAGCTATTATTCTGAACAGGAAGGTTATGAAAAAGTAACTCCGGACAAACAAAGAGAAACCCAAAAGATATTTACATCTCTCACAGAAATTCCTGGAGAGTCTGTAGAAAAGCTAAAGGAAGATTTACATTATCCAAAGAAAAGGCATTTGGATACCACAGCTGTGAAAATTAAAAAAATCAGACCAACAAGAACGTTGAAAGAAGCTGATGATGAAACCAGTAAAGACTGCATAACAACAGTGAAAGGAATTGTCAATCCAACAACAAGAGAGCTGCTAACAATGGCTGAAGCTATAACATTAGGCATCTTGAATATCAAGACTGGCCAATACACTGACCTGAGAAGTGGAAAGAACATGAACCTTCCGGATGCAGTTTCGAAGGGACTGGTTGATGACGACTTTATGAATCGTATCACTGAATCATGTGGTATTGTTGATTTGAAGACAGGAATAGAGTTAACTCTCATTGAGGCCATTCAGAAGGGCTTATTTGATCCTGAAAAGGGACATTTTCTTCATCCAAAGGATGGAAGAGCTATATCTGTTGATGAGGCTGTGAGAATGGGTGTCATCACAGAAAGTAAAGTGCTTACATTGATTGAAAGAAAAATTTTCAAGTTGACCATCATAGAAGCTATAAAGAAAGGATTATTAAACCCACATACAGGACAGTTTCTAGACTCAAGGACCAATCAGTGTATGACTTTGAAAGAGGCCTTTGAGAAAGAGTTCCTACAAGTTCACATGCCTGTGTGGAGTGAAGGAGGTTTACCATTGACAGATGCTATAGATAGAGGTATTACAAACAATGAAACAGGACAGATAGTGGACGAGGATTCTGGAGAAAGTTTCACCATTGATGAGGCTATTCTTAGAAGTGTTATAAGAAACAATGTTTGTGAAGTGGTTAACACTGAATCTGGTGAAATTCTGTGTGTGCCAGAAGCACTTTCTCAAAATGTCATTAATGCCCAAATGGGACGATTCGTCAGCAAAAAAACTCAAGAAAGGCTTACCTTCCAGCAAGCCTATGAGAAACATTTTCTATTAAGACCACTAACCTTAAAAGGTGCACATGAACAAGAATTGTTGGAAAACACTGGAAAAGTGACCAATCCAATAACTAAACAAAGGCTGACAATTCTTGAAGCAATGGCTAATGGAATTCTAAACATAGACGTCAAGTCAGTCATTGATCCAAAGACCGAGGAATTGGTGACTCTCCCGGAGGCTTTCGAGAAAGGTCTTATTACACCAGATGGAGGGTTCATAGACCTTACTGGAGAAGCTATCAGCTTGACTGAGGCTGTTGATAAAGGTCATATTACATCAGTTTGCCACAAGATGATATTTGATGTAGAAGGATTCAGGAATCCTCTAACAGGAGATACCATAAGTTTCAATACAGCAGTGACTAAGGATTTTATTGATGTGAGAAAAAGAACATTCAAAGATCTCACAAGTGGGGAAACTATGACTTTTGAGGAAGCAGCTACCAAGAAATTTGTACAGCCCCAAATAAGTGAAATGATAAACAGAAAAATTGGGATAGTAGACGAAAAAGGAAAAGAACTGACAGTTCTAGAAGCTGTATTTGAAGGTTTATTAGATTCCAAAACAGGACTTGTAAGAGAACCAAAAACAAAGAGATTACTTCCACTAAAAGAGGCATTACAGAAAAAAATAATAACACCCGAAGGAGCAGCTGTTCTGAAAGGTTTGCTCAATATTACAGTAACTATGGCAACAGTCACCAAGACATTAACACATTATGTAACCGTAACAAGTCAGCGTGTGACTTCAGACATTAGAATCACCTTTGTAGATGCAGTGAAAAATGGATTAGTTGACGAGACTCGTGAAACTTTTAAAGAACCAAACACTGGAGAGATTATGCCTTTGGAAGAAGCATTCAATAGAGGAATATTAGAATTACCATCTGAAGGGCTAATTGAAACATCAGAAGAAATTCCAGCATATCCCACCGAGACATTTACGAAAATGATTCGGAGGACTATTATAACCCACTCAGAGAAGCCATCACTATCTTCTGAAAAAGAGTCACCTACAAAGGAAACTGAGAAAGCACCAGTTAAAGGAAAAACACCTTCTCCAACTAAGGAGAAACCAGAAAGAGAATTAACATCTCCAACTAAAGAACCTGAAGAAAAGGTACCTTCTGCTACAGAGAAAACACCAGTGAAGGAAAAAACACCTTCTCCAGCTAAGGAGAAACCAGAAAGAAAATTACCATCTCCAACTAAAGAACCTGAAGAAAAGTTACCATCTGCTATAGAAAAATCACCAGTAATGGAAGAAACACCTTCTCCAGCTAAAGAACCTGAACAAAAGTTACCATCTGCTGTAGAAAAATTACCAGTAAAGGAAGAAACACCTTCTCCAACTAAAGAAGAAGAAAGAAAATTACAACTCCCAGCTATACAACCTGAAAAGGAAACACCAGTTAAAGAAAAAACACTGTCTCCAACAAAGAAGAAACAAGAAAGAAAATTACCATCTCCAACTAAAGAAGAGGAAAGAAAATTACCTCTTCCAGCTACACAACCTGAAATGGAAACACCAGTTAAAGAAAAAACACCTTCACGAACTAAGAAGAAACGAGAAAGAAAATTATCATCTCCAATTAAAGAGGAGGAAAGAAAATTACCTCTTACAGCTACACAACCTGAAATGGAAACTCCAGTTAAAGAAAAAACTCTTTCTCCAACTAAAGAACCTGAAGAAAAGGTACCATCTGCTATAGAGAAAACACCAATTAAAGAAAAAACACCTTCTCCAACTAAGGGGAAACTTGAAAGAAAATTACCATCTCCAACTAAGGAGAAACCAGAAAGAGAATTAACATCTCCAACTAAAGAACCTAAAGAAAAGGTACCATCTGCAATAGTGAAAACACCAGTTAAAGAAAAAACACCTTCTCCAACTAAGGAGAAACTAGAAAGAAAATTACCATCTCCAACTAAGGAGAAACCAGAAAGAGAATTAACATCTCCAACTAAAGAACCTGAAGAAAAGGTACCATCTGCTATAGAGAAAACACAAATGAAGGAAAAAACACCTTCTCCAACTAAGGAGAAACCAGAAAGAGAATTAACATCTCCAACTAAAGAACCTGAAGAAAAGGTACCATCTGCTATAGAGAAAACACAAATGAAGGAAAAAACACCTTCTCCAACTAAGGAGAAACCAGAAAGAGAATTAACATCTCCAATTAAAGAACCTGAAGAAAAGGTACCATCTGCTATAGAGAAAACACCAGTTAAAGAAAAAACACCTTCTCCAACTAAGGAGAAACCAGAAAGAAAATTACCATCTCCAACTAAAGAACCTGAAGAAAAGGTACCATCTGCTATAGAGAAAACACAAATGAAGGAAAAAACACCTTCTCCAACTAAGGAGAAACCAGAAAGAGAATTA